GCGCCGCGCCGGGGCCCGCGGCGAAGCGGCGTGTCAGCGTGCCCGAGCCGCCCGCGGCACCCGCGGCCTCGCGCTCGGCAGCCAGCTGCTGCTGCCCCCGCGGACAGGCGCCTGCTGCGGAGATGTGGGGGTCACCTCCGCGGAGCGCCCCGCAACACGCTTCCGTAGAGACCCTTGCATGGGGGCTCTGCTTCCCATTCCTGGAGTACTCTGTGTACACATATGCGTATAAAATATACCTTGAAAGCACCATCCATAGGGAAAGCATAAAGCTTTCCACAGTGAGTGTGCAAAGGTGTGTGACCACCCATGCAGGAAGACGTGGACTCCTCGCACCTCCTCAAGGAGGATTTCCGTGTGTCACATAGAGCTGCATCCAGCAGGGAGTCACYGGGATCCAGAGTTCGTACCCTGGCTTGGCTGTCAGTTCGGTCTGAGATGTTTTTGAACAACTTTTGTTACCAGACACAATCTGTCATCCTGCTGTTACTTGCACACAACCCTCAGAGGTGGAGGCCATCAATTAGAAATTCCTCAAAAACAAAACCCAGATTGGTCCCTCCGTGGGTTAAGGTCTTTATTGCCCTTCTCCTCCCAAGTTAGGCAGAGGTAAGCGCAGCTTGCATTTTTTTAAGTGAGCAACAGCTCAGTTCCACGGGTCTATTGGTCTTTTCCTGAAAGTTGCCTGTCCTGCCAGGTGAGCTTACTCCTGGGGCATGAGCAGGCTCCGGGGCAAGGGAAGTGTTTTCAGGCAGCGAGATTAGGGAGCTGAGTCTGTGTGCAAGAGCACTAGCAAACTCCAAAGCTGTAAGGAAGGCACCTGCCGAGCCAGCCAGTGCCTGTCCTGCTGGCTTAGGACGGTGCTTATGAAGTCATCTCATCTATTCTGCACCATTCTCTGATGCCCATAGCCAATACTGGATCCAGTCCAGCAGCAAAATCTTGGGTATGAATTTCCCAGGCAAATTCACGGCATGTCCCTAGATAAGCAATCTTTAATGGCCAAACTAGTACTGAACATTCCCCAAGTTTTCACTTCAAATACAACTGGAAAGCCTGTTGCTCTGCTACCTATGGAAGTCTGAGGAAGCAAAGGCAGGTACAGTGGCCTCTCTTGGCTCCTTCAGCCAGATCCTCAGTTTAGCAGCTGCTTGAAGGACAAAACCTCTTTTATAGCTGCTCAAGAAACTGAGGCAAAGAATTCAAGCCTCCTTCCATGGCCTCTCTTCACAAGGAGTCTGGACAGACAACAGCAATGCTTCCCGTGCCTGCTGGTGGAGCCGGGGCACGATGTGGCCTTGGAAGCTCCGTAGGACACGTTCCTGGCGGCCCTGGGGGCAGCTTCGCTGCGCTCTGCTCCCTTGCCCTCCTCGTAGGCAAGCAAAGGCCGCAGCGCTTCCTCACCGCGATAACCGACCACCACAGCCATCAGCGGGCTAATGAGCCGTATTAGGGATCCTATCTCATTGACCCGGCACTGACATTTCACTATCACTGCGCATTGCTCCGTATTTTGCTTCCAGTCACATTTTAATAACATAGCTTTTCTGATAAAGCCTTTTTGACTAGATTTATTGTGACTTGAATAATAGGCTATAAAGAAACTTACTAAATAAGTTCATGTAACTTTGTATTATGCAGGACTTCAGACAGAAAAGCTTTACTAGCAATCTTTCATTAATTTGCCATGAACTTAAATCAAATCAGAGGCTAAGCTGGCTAATCAGAGCCAGAAAACCTGGCTTGTATTCAAGACAGTAGATGCAGAAGAATATAAATAACTTGAAGATCTGTATAGTAGCTCAAACGTTCTGAAGTAATTATATTCTTACTGAAATTATTCTGTTATCAAGAATGACAGACAGTAGCACAGCAAAGAAATGAAATTCCACTTACAATCTGTAGAATTTTGGGGTATGGGTACATTTAATGTATTGTCCCAATGCAGCTTTTTTGTTTGGTTTTGTTTTCTAAAATACAGTACATAAGACCATACCATCTCTCTCCTCTAGTAACTTTGGAATTTGCTGACCTGTAGCAATCACATTTTGTATCAGGTAGAGAATATTTCATGAAAACAGGTAGTTAACAGAGAAACATATCCTTTAATAATAATAACTTGACTGAAAAAAAGGCTCAATTCAATGTTACAGAATCTAAACAGGAGAGCAGATATGGGACATAAATGCTTATGTTTTGTTAGTCTTCATTCAGAGATCTCACTCTAAATTCATGGAGTTCACTACTGCAAAAACTATACTGTTTTAAAAGCTGTTCATATTCATTTTAAATAGTTCTGTGGCTGCAGGATTTTGCAGCTAGTGAAATAATGTGAAATAAGACTGCATGCATGTGATTGATAATTGTCAAAGTTACTTACTACCTATGCAGGGTTTTGTCAGGAAATGAGAGTGGCTGTAAAAAGGAGCATTTTACCGTTCACAAGGCTAATAGTCAAAGATAAGGAAAGCTGAGCTTAAAATAAATTACAAGACTGATTAAAAAATTAATAATAAACTGTCTATCATCCACTCCATAAGTGCTTGCCACCTCCACTTTTTAAAAGCAGCAGAAAGTTCACCTGCCGAGTCATTTAGAACAAACGTTCACTACCGTAAATATGTGAGGTAGAGAAGACAAATCTTTAAGGAAGGGAGGAGACCAAGCTAGACATAAAACCACATATTTTTTCCCAACAATAAAATAACCACCACCAACAACAAAACAACAGAATTCAGGTAAGCATCTCACAGGTGAGAACAAGCTCCTCGTGATTCTCTTTGCTAAGGAAGTCTAGCAGCTGAAGCCAGCGGAGTACCAATAATTGACAAAGCAGAATTTATTTTTTGTTTTACTTCTGAGAATGTACCTTGTACCATAATTATGGGCAGCTTCTGCTGTAAGCATCTTTCTTTACTCCCTGAAGTAAACCCTGTCTAAGGCAAGCCTTCCTGCTTTTGTGGTCCTCTGAAGGTAACTATACAGCTAAGCCTCCCTGTAACTGGTGTCTGTGAGAGATCTGAATGTGAAGGGCACAGGCAGGGGTTTCACCTCAGATACTGGCTGGGAAACAAATACTCAGTAACACAGAATGAGCACCTTCAAAGTGTTTATTTATCCAGAGAAAAAACAAAGCTAAGAACAGAAAGTAAACTAGTAAATGTGATTAACCATTAGATTCTTGATAATCTTTGGCATGTTCTGTTTAGCCCATTTAAATCGATTTCTGAATCTGGCACTGGACTGTCCTTTTTAAAGCATTCCTTTACAATACAAATTTGTTAACTTTTGCTAATGCTCCTTTGAAAGCATCCAGCTAAAGTTACCTTCCTGACTGTTTTTATACACTAGTTTGCTTAACACTATTGATCTTTGAGTGAAAAAATCAGATTGAGTTAGAATGAAATGATAATTTCCCTACTATCCCCTACAATATGCTACCCGGATTATTACTTTGCTTAGCCTGCTTGGTTCCTTTTGTGCCACTCTGATTAAAATCCATAGCAAGCTATATGTTACAAAGACTCAGATGCTAGTTTCTACTTCTTGGTATGGATATTTCCTAATTTTCTAAGGTTGTAACCAAAACTGTAGATGAACTATTACAACCGTTCTGCCCGCAAAAATTTATTTCATAGTGTTAAAAGCTAGATTTAAAGGCACATTTATCTCAGACATGCAAAGAAAGCGAGCATCAAGTCAGGGCTAGTGCTTTTGTGGTGAGGCATTAGGCTACAGAACAGGCACCAAACACAATGAGGACTTGGCTTGCATTTTGTGAGTAAATTCTAGAAGTCTAGACCAAGGTACTACAACCTATTTTAACCTATCTTATCACTCAGCACATGAAAGCACATGACTTTGGTGGTCTGTTACAGCGCACATCCTTAGTATACAAAAGAGAGCCACACAGAAACTATCGCTGAAGTGCTTGAATGCAGAAGTGATTGCACTTTCAGGAACTGATCTAAGGTATAGAAATGGTGCTGTTAATTTACAATTTCATGATACTCCCTCAGTACCACTTATTACATGATAGTTACATGTCTTACTGCAACAGTAACCTCTTTCAGTGAAGAAGTCTTCAAAAATATATCATTTTCTAATGAGCCGGCATTATCTTCAGCTCAACAAATTGTTAACACAAAAATAACAGCTTAAAAGGGCATTAGCAAAAGATTTAGGTTTAATTCAGTACTAATACTTTTTAAGCCATTGTTTTTCTRTCTCACAGATTAACGCTTGAAGAGTTTCCACGCAAAAACACATGTTAATCTGTTTTTAAACACATCTTCCAATAGAAAAAGATACACTTTCTGCCTAATACAGTGCCAGAACACTAAACTATACAAAAATTATATTCTCAGTATATACCATGCTACATTAAAAGCATGTAAATAATCCCTCAGTTTTCCAGTACTTGTAAGGCCCCTTGGATCTAGCCATTACAAAACATACATTAATGATTTTGCCTACTGCTGGCCGAAGTTAATATTCATCTTACTGGTGAAACTCTGATTTTGTGTAAACAAATTATCCTGAGTTTCAGAATGTCAAACAAGCATAAAAAGGTTCAGGAAATAGCTACATAATTTGTTTTCTCTTTTTAAGAAATTATCTCTCTTTCAAATTTAATACATTTTTTTTCCCTAAGAGTAAAACACACAGTTAGCAAGTGACGTATTTATTTCTGAACTTCCTTGATAAAAGCTGTTTATTCCAGAATTTGAAGCAGAGACAGTCAGTTTCCTGCCAAAAGAACAGCAACTAAAAATGTCTTGTTTTTCAAAGAAGTTTTCTATTTATGACTTCAAATTGTGCTATGGATGTACTAATATATTTGAATATCATGGCTAGATTTGTACAAATTTGTAACCAGTAATTAACTTACTTTTATTGATTACAGAAAGCTTGCATCTCAGTACCATACACTTTTGCTACAGTTGAAGGTTATTTTCAGGCTCTTGTTAGACAGTGGGAATTCAGTGTTTCTCTATAAACAAACAAACAAAAAATTTACAGCATGGATAATTTCAAGAGATACGGAGAAAAAAGATATTGCTTTAAAGTTGCTGCTTTTTTTTAAAAAAAGGCTTATCTTTGATTTTATACAAGTACTGAAATTCCTCAAAACTAACAATTCATTGTAGTCCAAAAAACAAACAACTCCCCCTTCATGATTACATTGATTACAATTAGATTCATTCCCGTTATAACTACCATTTCCTATTTTGTAGTTACCATCTCCTATTTTTCAATGTAGATCTTGCTCTGAGCTCTTCTGATTTTTTCCAGGTCTTCATAAGTAAGCTGTCCTTTCGGCAGTTCTAGCAAAGCGCTCTGGGTCTCTAGTATGTTCTCTGCTTCACCTTAAAAATATTACGAGAAAGCAAATAAAAAAACAAGAACTCAAAAAAAAATCAATTTTAACTATTTTTGTTTGAGGGCGAGAATAACCTAACACCAYGTCACAGATATGTATTTTACAAACAGGCTGATGCCATCTAGTATTAAGTTTGTCTTTAAGACATACTGGTCTTGTGGTGTAACTCCATGCAAAACTGTTTGGTCTGAAACAGATACCTTGTCAAATGAATTCAGGTTGAGTAATATTTCAGCCAAATCAATTTTGTTATTGTTGCTATTTCTTTAAAGACCCTCTTTCTTACAAGCTACATTGGGTTATTTCTTTTAGAAGTTTATTACACTGATGTGATGAAATGGAAGCCAGAGGTTACTAGAGCAAAGTCGATGAAGTTCAACCTGTCCCATAAAATATATGRCCAATTAGAAGAGTCTGGAAAAAGGGTAGATCACAAACACACATTGAAGAGTACATAAACCTTAACAAGTAAATTCCCGATATGTGCTGTCATCCTACATATGCCATAGTTTGTCACAACTTTTCTTCTTGTTTCAGCTCTAGGTTAAAAGATGTTAGGCTACAGGAAAAACACGGTCAGCAAGASAGCTGAAGCTTACACGAAGACTTGCTAAGACAGTGTTACAAACAGATAGTCTTTACAGCATGGCAAGAAAAAAGTTATATTGTCCAGATAAGGCTGGAAGGAAAATAACTAGGACAAACTATTCAAAAAATAGAGATACAGCTTGAATGTATAAGTTGTGTAACACGGGATAAAGATTAGGCAAAGAGTGGGGTTTTTTGGCTCATGCCATTTGGGGCTATGCCAACAAAGGTCCCGGGTACCTAAGCTTCAACTCCTGTTTTAATGATATCTAGGGCAAAAGGGCTGACACACTGTTCATGTGCAATAAACCTGCCTGAGTATTGTCACAGAGTCAGGACTCTGATCATTCTTTGAAGCACATCTGAATGTTGCCATCTCTGGTGGCAGTAATATATACATAGTAAATATCAGTAATATCCCATTGGATATTACTGCTCGGAGATTCAGTTATTGGCGAAYAACTGCCACAATGCTAGGCAGATACATAGGACATCAGATTATGAGACAGAAAGAGAATTTTTATGACAGAGAGACATTATAGAGACAGCCAAATCTCTGTGACCATCCAATACATCCACAGAACAGTTTCTCCAGGCACTCTTTGCCAGGGTCGGCAACGTATACTTGGAACAGGAAGACAAGCTTAACAGGAAGGTCCAGAACCAGACAGCAGTTCCATGACTGAAAGTTATTAGCACTGGAGAACTTGTGTTTACTCTTAGTGTCTCAGCTACTCAAGAAATCTGAATACGCCCTCATATTTCAATGTGARAGAACAAGAAAGTCATGAGAAAATGCTGCACAAGTAGACCAGAGATAAAATTTACTTTGGGCATGATTAGAGACAAATATTTGCTGAAACAGCAATGGAGCAGCTTTCTAGAGCTACAGACTGATTCCAAAGAATGAGGAACAGCGGAYGGACCTGTTTGAGCAAGGTGGCTCGGATGCAAAGCCAACCTTAGAGCAAGGATTGTAAAGAGAGATTGAGCTTAGTCTCTTTCCTCCCATATGCTTTTTTTCAGCCTCAAAGAATAGTCTATAGCTTCATCATTACAAAATGGAACAGATGGGCAAGTAGAGGAGTGGTTGACTACAGAGCATAGCAGTGGACACAGGCCAACCAAGTAATGAAAGTGAGGATTGCAATAGTAGGTTAGTTGTCTCATAAATCTTTCTCTTTGACTAGTTATTTACCTTAAAATAACGATGTACCATGAACATCACTTCCACATGAGCATAAACCTTCTATGGATTTCCAACCTAGACTTACTCAAATTAGATTAATCCCTATTATTTAGTGCTGATATTAAGAGCTTAACATAATGAACTTGGTTATTTTCCTTGTTGTATGTTGTTATTTTCCTTCCTATTGTCCTAAGTAGACTATAGAGACCCAAATCTACATTGTCTTTTTAAGAAGGCTAAACAAGCTCACCTTTTAGCTTTTTCTCACAAAACCAGATTTCTCTGGTAATTCTTCAGTTATTTTAGATTTCTAACAAAGAACTAGTTCAAATTATCTAAAACTCCAAGAGTTTCACTGTTTTTGTCAATTGGTACTTTTCTATCTGTACTAGAAAACCTCACCTGATGTCCTCGGACTTCACTTTTCTCTTTTCAGATTTCATCACCTTACTGGATGACACTCATTCTGTGATCAACTAATATACTGGGGTTTGTCTCTTTCTCTGTCATTTCCAGATGGTGTGTTCTGATGGCAGAAAACCTTATTAGGCTCTTGCTATTCTTAACAAATTGCATTCTACTTTATTATCCCAGCTCTTCAGTTCATCAGTACTTTTACTACRTTTTAYTCCTTATCTGGCAGTGATACCAATGAAGTTTGTCCTTCTCAGATTTTATTTGTATATTAATAATCTCAAATACAAAACAAACTGATTCATGCCAAATCTTGGGGGGAAAAAAAAAAAAATCACTAGTAAGCCTGCTAAACTCCCCATTCAAGCACAACCTTCTGACATCTCCTTTTTATCCCAATGCTAGTCTTCCACTAATCCTCACGTACTTCATTCTACCTTAAAATTCATRCATTACATGTTTTCAAGAGTTCAGAGTAGTTCAACTACATTCCTTTTTTGAAAAGGAAACTGATTTTCCCAGCTAAGAAATAGCACTGTTCATTTGGCATGCTTTTCTTATATATTATCATTAGTTTGGCTCCACAGTTTTTCCTAATAAGACCTGTATATTGCTGGATATGTCCAAGGGGATCTAAACTACAAAGATTACTTTCCCATATAACTTTCCAAATAAAGGTAACACATTACCCATTGACAAGGTACACAGGACCACATTGTTCTCTTAAACTCCATTAAACCATTCCAGATTTTTATCATGGGGTCTGAATGTCTAGTTTTTACTTATGTCTACTTTTTAAAAATCCTGGAACAAAAAATAAAACATTAAAAACAAAAAAAGGAATTCCAAGTTTTACTTCCACCTTGATTGTGTTCCTCTCCTTTTTAAAACTAATTCCCACAAGACACCCAATCTTTGTCACTGTACTTGGCTGTCTTCATATTAAAAACAAGAATTACTCAGTGGGATTCAGGAATGTTCATAAATGCTCACAGACAGATCATGGTGAATGTTTGAGCCCATTTGCAACATGAAGTATCTCAAAATTTGTCCAATTAATGTCTGGCATTATTCTCAATGAAGTTCACACAGTTACAAAATCTAGATCTTAAAACTTCAGCCTATCAAATCAAATCAAAGAGCTGAAACAGATTTTCAGTTTCATTATATTCTGTGTTTTGTTCAGTAACAGACTGCAAAGTCAACCTATTTAACGAAAGATTTAGGAGGGTTGCAAGTCATGTTTTTTCCAATCAGGAGATTTCAGGCGAGCATTCTCTCAGCATGCCTCCTTCACTAGGAATCAGAATGAACGGAGATGAAGCTGTCAGATTTTCCACAGACCTCAACAGTGATCACTTAAGGAGGTCTACTGTTGGCAACTATGAGGCAAGATGCCACTTTTTGGGACTCACCCTCCAATATCTATCATAGCACTATGGCAAGATCATCAGTTGAGGACTCTGGCARTCATGTAAGTGGCACGATTCCTGCTCTGCATCCCTTCAACTACTCTCAYCACTCTCATCCCCTGCCAAAGCATCAGCATGTGAAACACGCTGAGCTTATTTCAGCTGTATTTATAGTGTGATTTCTAAGAGAATCAAGAGAGGAAAAATTAGCCCACTATCTGAACCAGAGGGAAACGCTGTAAAAGCGGTGAGTAGAGTACACTTAACTGGGAAAATATCTGACTGTAACAAAGAGGAAAAACAAACAATGTAGGAATGAATTAAAAAAAAAAAAGCTGATGCACCATCTCTATTGGCCACTCTAAAACGATCTGTGATTTTCTACTATTTTAACCTTGGATTTATGTGTAAAACAGAATTCTATACACATACCTTTTATCCTTTGCAACATTGTCCCATAGCCCATATCATATTGATAGGCAAATATAAAACTTAAAGGAACTATTGGCAGTAGAACTACTGGGTTGTTCTTTTTTATCGCTCTGTTTTTAAAAAAAGAACAAGAAAAAATAAGATTATTTAGGGCATTYAGCATGTCAGTACTCTCAGTGCAAGGTGACCTTGATTTTTCTAGGACTTATATACTCTTCTGCACTCTTTAATCTAAGTCACACAACTCTTAAATTTCTTCAGAAGCACTAAAGCTTTCCTGGGCAGATAATCTCAATCTACTATCAGACAAGGGAATGAAATGAAATACTTTACGTGAGTTTTTAATGTACTTAAGAAAAAGGTTTGTCTAACTAGTACAGCATGCATATTCACACACACATAACAATGCTGAACTGTAGTCTAAATTACAGCCACATGCAGCATGCAGCAATCATGTTATTAGAAGTAACTGCAATTGCATCCCAGTGCACAGAGAATACATAATGTATAACTGCATTTAATCTCCACTTGGTAAAGAGAAATAAAAATATTCCCTCTAATCACTTAAAGCACAAGCAAACCACATTACCTAAACCAACCAACAGTTCGATAAGGAAAGTTCCTTCTCATACAATTCAACTTTATTACTATTAGTCATTTTTTTTCCTAATACAAATTTATGAATTTTCAAATTGCAAGCAAACAGATGTCAGAATATATCAGCCTGTTCACTGACATATTTTAAAAAAAAAGTATGATGGAAGAAAAAAGTATGACAGAGGATTTGCAGTTAATCAAAAGTTCATTAAATCACAACACAGCAAGTAGTATGGCTTTAAAATAATCCCTTCTGCTTCACACAAAACTTTTGCTTTATGCTGAATTTTTGGCATTTCAGTTAAGTCATTTTATTGCCAGCTCAGATCTCTGCTTTTATAACAGTACAGACATACTCAAAACACATCCAGAATTAGATAGAAATGAACTGAGTCATTTTGTCATTGGAGCACTCTCTGAGAAATTACTGGATAAAAATAACTATCTGATAAAAGGCAAAAGGAAGAGCCAAAACTATAGAAATATATTTGTAATGTATCTATTTAAATACTCTGTTAGGAAATAAATTTCATACCCAGTTGTTAAACCTACAGCAGCAAGTCCAAAAAAAGTTCCAAAGTATTTCAGAAATTCCCGTGTCCAAGCAATCTGCATGGCTGCTTGTCTCTCTCTCATCTGATTTTGCATCAGTAATTGTCTTTCAAGCTAGAGAAGGAAGAAACATTAAGCAAAATTAACTCATCTATTTATTTTGAAGTATGAAACAATTTCACACTGGTCTATTAATGCAGAAGAGTAAGAAAGGTTTCCTTTTTGTTCTTTCACTTCAATAATTCACAAGTTATAACTGAGAATGGTTTTAGTTGCATTAACGAACAGTTTATATCAAAACTGTGAGGTCATTGAAAATTGCTTGACTACACAATCTTACGCTGCTTTGGTTAAGCMACCAAAAAAAACCCACCAATGACAGGTTTTGAGAACTCCAAGTTTCAAAAGCACTCCACAGGCTAAAGTTTTCCTTATCTTTGCATTCCTATGCTAATCCTTAGAGCACCACCCAGCTATACAGAACACTTTCCAGTTTATTTTACTTGATTGTAATTTGGATACTATCTTTAGAGTCATCCTTAACTYTTCTTTGCCTTTTTAGGATTTCTTTTCTCCTTTATGATGCATCATAAAGCTAATAATATTTGGAGATTAGCACAGTTTACAAATACAGGCAAACACTACAAATTGTCTGTCAAAATAACAGATCTTAAAGATACTAGGAATACATCTCAGTTTTGTATGGGAAAATATTCTGCAATTAACAGTAATAATTCAAGGAGCACAATCTGGACAACGCATTCATACACCCAAGTAGAATTTGCTTTAGTGCAGTAGAATAAAAAAGTAGAATATTAGATTTCTTATTACACAGTTCTCAACACATCTATCTCAACACATTCATTAAATAATGGAAAATTGGTTATTTCTTACCAGTTCTTCTCTACAGTACAAAACACCAAGAAGCATCTTTCCTCTTTACAGTGCTACATAATGCTGTGTCAAAACTAAGCAGTGCATAATCACAGCATAGCAGGTAACACAGTTTAAAATCTGCTTCTTCGACTGATGCTTGTAACTCAGTTTGGAAAAAAATAAACAAAACAAAAAAAAATCAAAACACACACACACACACACACACACACACACACAAAAACTAAGAGTACTTGATTTGGTATATTTAGCTTCATCTTAGTTAAGTGAGGTTGCATAAAAAGCCAAAGAAAGTACATGAAGCTGAACACCAGCTGCACTAAATAAAAAAAAGGTGTATTCTAGAAAAGACAGAACAGAGAAAAGACTAGGAAAGTTCTCTTGTCATGCAACTATGAAGTAAATAATTAAATCTACTCTTTTTCTCTGCTTTCTAATTCACAAATAAATTAAAGGTTTTGTAATTACTTATGGTTTCCACCCATTTATTCATCTCGGTTACTATTGATTTAGGCCGAATAGAACAATTTCTGTTAAATTATTACTAATTATTTCTTCAGACTATGTTGATCTTGCTATCTTATTTACAAGCTCATTCAATACCYAGATAGGTAGAATTAATTTTTTAGACAACATAATAAAAAAAGGACAGATCTAATTACATATAATTGCACACGGTAGGAAAAACAACATTCACAGTAGTCCCTCAATACTGTTTCATCTGTTTCTCTTTCCTCAAAACTTTCGCCTTAATTGCTGTTCTTACAAAAATATCACTAGCAGTGTCTAGTTTTCTGATGTCCATAATTTTCATATAACTTTTTTTCATAAGAAATAATTATGTAGTGGCTGACAAACCACTTAATAAAACACCAAAATAATTAGATTTCATTTTGTCACCTACGAGACACTTGAATTTCTAAAGTAGGCATGCATGCTACCCGTTAATTAGCCTCATTGTGGTCCCAGAACCCCAAGCCTGGTAAATTGCTGAGAGCTGATGCAACAAGATAATTACATGTTATACCAATTTAATGACTTTTATTTTCCCCTTCAATTTATTTATGTGTGTAGTTTGCACATATGTGTGAAAAGTAAAAGGRGCCTTTTGTTTGCCTGAGGACAGGTAAGGACTATATGCTTCCGAGAAGGACAGGAGCATCCTAAGTACATGGGGAGGAAGGGGGACCAGAACAGGCTGGTGAAAYATAGGCCTTGGTAAGAGGAAATCTTCTGGAAAAAGAAAAGAGCAAAGAGTTTGATATGCACAAATAGTGAAGAAAAGGAAGTACCAAAAAGGGGGGGAGGGGGGACAGAAAGTGGGGGGGGGTTGAAGAGCCTAAATCTACAAAAGTAATTGAAAGATCTTAACACAGCTAAAACATAAAATGTATCTTTGTACCAAGTACTGAAAGGAAAAGAAAAAACAAAAATGTATAAACCATGACACAGACACTAACTAAACTTAAATTAATCCCTCTACATAGGAGCCCATCATATCACACTTTAGAAGCCCAAGGTTACTTCTATGTGTATCTACAAGTAACTTACATAAATAACTTAGTATAAATGAGAACAATTTGTTTTGCATATTCAAAATATTGCCACTAAGATAAAGATACTACTTTTCATAAGTAGCAGAAAGTTTTTCCACTTAAAAAAACCTCTCAGCTGTTTACAGCACTTCGATATCCARAAACACAGAAAAACACTACACAAGTACCTCTCATAATTCCCTGATTTTGAGTAAATTTCTTCAGTGTGCATATAACTACTTATCTAGAAGATACAGAATAGTGTATTTAACATTCCTTAAAAAATGAATAAGGAAGACTGATGAATCCTAGAGACAAATACTTAATGTGTATGTGGAGAAACGTGGCAAAATCAGTAAGAGGTTGCTCAGAGGATGCTCCAGAGAAGATACTAAAAAAATTACACTTACACTTTGCAATCTTATATCAAGAAAATGCCTAGGTATTTTTAGCTACACTAAGTACTCTAAAGTATTGCTGCTGAGGTCCTTTTTAAAATCACTTTTTATTTAGTGATAGATGGAGAGTAACATGCAGAAAAAYAACAAAAATGAACAAATATTATTATTGTGCACCCCAAACTCTTTTAAAAAACGTGTGCAGTCTTATGCTGAACTCAAGAACATCTCTCCCAAATGCCTAATTCTTTTTTAGGTGCTTCCTGTTGTTGCACACCCTGAAAACCTTCATCTTTGCATTTCATCCACATAAAACTTGGTTACATCAGTTGGTATAGAGTGATCTTCCTGAAACACCAAAAAATAAACCATAGTGGTGGGATTGTAGTAAGACTGTCTGCCTAATGAGGAGATTGAGCAGTCCCCAGGTGGCTTCATTGGATTCCAATCTTTGCTTACAGGAAAACATAAGAAACTCTTTGCAAAGGAGAAACATAAGAACCTATTCATAAGAAATAATCCAGCCATAACAGTTATGGCTGGATTTTCCAGGACATACTTCATAACACAACTTAATTTAATGGAATCATTGCAGAAACAAAATGAAGAATTTCTGTGTTCTTTTCTGAGAAATTCTAGTCATGTAASTCCTGAATAACAGGTTGATGCTGTCATCATGTTCCCAACACGGACTCCAAGAACATGTGGTTTACACAACAGAGAAAGTCCAACCTGCAGCCACAGAGAAGCTTAAGACAGGACACCTCTCTGCTCTGTGTCTCAGCATCCGATCATCTAGACAGGTGTCATCAGCAGTGGTAAACATCCAAATAGTATAAGCATCTAAAGAAATTCTGGAAGATCTAAGTTATAAATTTACAGGCCTATAAGAAGAGCTAAGCAATTCACAGAATCAAAGAATCACAGAACAGTCAARGTTGGAAGGGACCTCTAGAGATTATCTAGTCCAACCTTCACGCTCAAGCAGCCACACCTAGAGCATGTGGCATGGAGTGGCATCCAGGTGGGTTTGGAAGATCTCCAGWGAAGGAGACTCCACAACCTCCCTGGGCAGCCTGTTCCACTGCTCTGTCACCCTCACAGTGAAGAAGTTCCTCCTCACCTGGAAAYGGAACTTCCTGTGTTTCAGCTTATGCCCATTTCCCCTTGTCCTATCGCTGGCCACCAATGAGAAGAGCTTGTCCCCTTCTTCCCTGCATTCTCYCTTCCTGAACTTATACATGTTAATCATATCCCCTCTCAGCCTTCTCTTCTCCAGAGAAAACAGRCCCAGTTCACTCAGTCTCTCCTCATACSAGAGATGTTCCATTCCCTTAATCATCTTAGTTGCTCAGAATTCCTGTGTATATCTTTCTGTAGGAGATTAAGGCATAAAACCTTTGTACTTACCCATCTAACACATTGAACTGAATGAAACATCTGTAAATCACATMGTGTTTAAAGATCAGGATAGCTTGAGACTCCAATTATACATTGCCAAAGTTATTGATAGAGTGTAAGATCAAATCATTACAATAWGATCACTTTAACTAACCTTAAACAAGTCTGGATTTGACAGCAGATCTTTATACAGCAAGTCTGAACAGTCCAGCAAAACAGATAATTTTAAATTAGATGAAAGATACAAAACCAAGTATGTTTGACAGCAATTTTTAATCAATATCCCATTTTCAGCCATTAATTTTGTAGCAATTGTGTTTATTCTCCTTCACATGTGTTCTATTGCAAATACTAGTCCCACTCAGTAATCRAAGGGTGGAGGAGAGTCTTGGTCTATTAACATGCAGCTTACAAGGAAATGGCCAAATCCTGCTACCTTAGGATATGCTCTGCAATGAAATTTTCTTAAGAAAACTTTTTAAATGATAAATTAGAAGCAAAAAAAATTAAAAGTATAATTTCATTGCAAATGATACCTTCACATGCAGAACTTCATAGATGATAGGATCACAAAAGCAGATGCATGCTGTAGCTTATTTAGAAAAAAAATAACTGGTGTGAGAAAACTGAGGAAACAAGCCACATATCAATATAATACCTGCATATCATACATAATATCATACATCTGTTATCAGGTATCACACAGTAAGCTAAGAGACATGTCTCTGAGAATGAATTCAGTTTCATTTTAAATTCATAGGTCTCCCATTTACATATATCTCTTTTCAGGAGGGACTATGTACATTACTAAGCATTACTAAACTTACTTTAACCTATAAAGTGCCTCACATAGTTAAATGTGTCTTCCCAGGCTTACTAAAGAAGA